TGGGGATGAGATTCAGCTCGGCAACACATTTTGGAATGACAGTCCTCTACCTGACAATTTTACTTCAGGACCTGCCCGAGGCATCACGTGCATAATTGCTTTTGTCTCTTGGTAAATTCTCTTTGCACAGATGGTCCAACAGGGCTAGTTTAGTGTCTCACCTGCAGCACTGGCAAGAGATGTGTAGCAAAGGAGCACGGCTCCCTCTCTGAAGACCCACTTCCCTTGATGTGAGTCCTTCCCGCACCACTTCAAGCTTTGTGGAGAATCTACCAAACTCTGGGAGAAGTGGTGCTTCTTGCATATTGGGCAAATAAGTTTTTATTAGATTCCTAGCAATACCTAGTAGTTGACTTCTAGGTGAATACATCCTCAGTGTGTGCGATTTTGTGGCTTTCCATCCCACCCTCTCGGGTGTCTCTGTAATCTCCATTCTGAATCATTTTGCTCTGTCAATACTTCAGTTACTTTAAAGCTTAATTATTTCTCTCTCTGACTTCTTTTTTTGCTGAGAAATTACTAGGAACATGAAACTCCAGACAACTTAAGCTTTTAAGGCTTTGCTGTCAAGTTAATTTGTGTATCATGGAATTATAGAGGCTGCTCTTTTTCAAAGAAGTCATGTATAAATCCTTACAAATATACTAAAGTACTTGCTTACAGTTACAAAAAAAAAATAATTCCTAAGCCTTAAATAATTTGACTGTGTAATGAAGCTATTTAGGTTAAAATTGAATTCTTACCTCTGAATGAATCTATTGCTATGTTTGATTGCCAATAAAACGGAGGCACATTAACATGAGAGTTAATGCCACTGGTTGCGTTTTACTTTAAATAAACCAAAGTTCCTTTGTTAAGTGGGTACACAATTTCTTTAAAAAGTATGTAACGTGGAGAGGAAAACTCATTAGCAAAATACAATGGTTTGCAAAAAGGCTTTGACATTTCTAAACATTAAAAAGTACACTACCAAGGACTTGGAAAGAATATCAAGCTCCAAGGCCAAAGAATCCACTGCATATTAATCTTCTTTATCAAAAAAGTTGATTGGGGCACTAAAGACAAAAAATTAACCTGTTGTGCAATAAGAGGGGAAATGCACGGGAAATTTCGTGACATGGTAGGAGGATGTTACTCTAGGAAATGAGATCTACTGGTCCTGACTCTGTTACCAACAAGCATGAAAATTTTAGCCTGGAATTCCAACCCTAAGGGCCTGAATTTTCCCATTTACAATATGTTCCCCACCCTCTAGGATTTTTTCCATGTGAGAAACAGAATCTCAGAGTTATTTTGTAACTTAACCAAGGTGGCAGAAGACAGACAATGAGTTTGAAAACCTCCTTTCAAACATTACTGGAGTTTTGGCTCCCAAAGGAACTGTTTTCTTTTTTCACAGAGATGTGCTGTGAGCATTTTTACCCAGCTGCTATTCTTTTTTTTTTCCAGCTGCTATTCTTGAAGAAAGGAGAGTAAACATGTTCTAACTTACAGGAAGCTGAAAATGACCATTTAAAAAAAAAATCTATATAAAGGTGGAAATTCATCTACTGCTCTCTGTGTTTGTCATTTCTTCTGAAAGCCAGACTTTAAGGGTAGCCTGATTTAGCATTCTTAATATGGGAGAGGATTTAGACAACAGACTGTCTGCCTTTAAGATGAGAAGTCCACCGAGTATGAAGGGAATCTATGATTTCAGATCGTTGCCCTCGATTTTTTCCTGACACGTATTTCGAAACTTTGTGCTGTTTCCTACTGTCACTGCTAGAATACAAGCACATTCCTTTCTGCTCACGTTTTGCAGTGTCATCAGCCTGAGAGCATGTGCTGAGACTGAGTCAAGGCTTCTCCCAGGGAGATATGGAGGAGGGCTGTCTGGAGGCTATGGAGAGATGGTTAGGCTGGGGCTAGGCTGCTCAGAATCGCTCACAAAGTTCCGGCTCTGTAAAGTTCACTGGAAGACTCAAGTCCAGCACACAGTTTCTAGGAATTAACCCCAAGGATCATAAATTTAATCCTCAGGCATTTACAGATGGGCTGGATTGGTTTAACTGGAGTAAGACACTGTAGGGCAGCAGATATATGCAGATTGTTAGGCTTTTATAATCCTCAACTCCTACCTACCCACACCTACAATGGGTTCAATCAAAAAACCTAAACTTAAAGCTTTCCGATTCAGAGGGAAAGATGGTAATTCATATGGATTGAAAATAAATTTCTTTCACTTATAAAAGGAGTTTTCAGAAAGGGGAAATCCACCAAGCTCAAGATCAATCATAGCGAACTATTTTGATATACTAATGAGGTAGGGTGTGTGTAGTTTAGGGGTCTACTGCTTGCACAGCACAGGTGAGACTCTGCATTTGATACCCTTTCCTTCCAGAAAGGAGTAAAAACCAACATACAAGAACTTTAGATACCCAGTTTTGAAAAGAGAGAGCAACTAAGGGATACATAAAGGCAATTCGGTACACAAGTAGCACAAAATATCAACATCCTCATTCCCAACACTTACTTCATGAATGACCATTATATTTTATAGACTATACTGTCCTTTTTTCCTCCTCAATGAATCAAGTGTTGTTTGTTTTTGTTTTTGTTTTTGTTTTTTGTTTTAATGCAGTAAGAGTTGTAGTCCTCATTTTTGTCTCCCAAGCAAGTTGCTATTAGGGCTCAAATCCCAAGTACGGAGAAAACAACCTTCATGGATAATAATGATAAAACCTTATGGAATGCAAAAACAACCAAAATATGTATTCTCAGATGACTGCATTAGAGCCAAGTCAATATTAGTCCCACTTCACCCACGCACTGCATCGTCTAAAAATGTTGTTAGGCTGATAAGAATTTCCTGACTTATTCTTTCTTCCAATAGAAAATATAGGTCATCAAAATAAACTCCGACAGTGAAAGAACAGTAGCGACACTGTCGGCTCTCTCTGGTCCATTAGCCAATAAGAGTCAAGTAGTTTGTTTGCTGGAGAAAAATTTAAACATCAAATAAGCCAAATAGCCAAAGAATTATGAAAGTTCCCATATACACCTTTCAACTAAACCCTTCCAGTAAACTCAGCAATCGTCTACTTAAAAGACGTCTAGAGAAGTTCAGACTATAGCAGAAGCCGGGCATTGTGTGACTTCTTAACGCAGACAGTTTAGACTCTTCTGGTGTTTTATTTTTAATTCATTTGTCAACTTGTTGATAGTTTTACCAAAAGGATGGAATTTGGGGTTGAAACTTAAGGCTATCACAAAATAAGATAAGGTGCTTGGAGCTGGTTCTCAGTGAAAACCAGCTTTCAATTTGTCAGAAACAGCCTTTGATTTTTTCCCCCCTAGAGAGTGTATTACAATGCTGACCTCTACTATAGACTCCTATTTTAGTGGAATTTTATTTTATAATTTCATCAGAGGCAACCTTATTCACAACTTCTACTATCCCTGACTTTTTCAGAAGAGAAAGTTATCTTCCTGAATATTTAAAAACATCTCGGTCTGTTGCTCATCCACATTCCAACTGATAATTGAAGGCCTCTACTGCCTCAGCGATGGAGCAATGGCTGTTAGTAATACCCAAAGTCTCTTGGCCTCCCTTGAATCTACAATAGCACTATTTTGTTTATGTCAAAGAAAATGTGAGCAGCCCCAGTGTTTTCATTTGTCACCCGTGACCACAAAATAATAATAATAAAAAAAAATGCTTGTCCATCTTTCCCATCAAAAGTCATTTCGTTTGGAACTGGTAAAGTTGTCAAATGTTAAAGTAAATAAATTAATTAATATTAGCAAGAAAGTGGGCTCTTCTTGCATGTCTTCTGTTGGTCTTCATTAAGATGGACTGTTTAGCGGTAAGTCCCGAATTTGTGCCCTTTCAGAGTTAGCTGAATTTAACAGCCACTACATCTTAAACATAGAGTAATAGTCTCTCTCTCAACAAGTAGCCCTGTACATGTAGAAAAGGGACAGAGGCAAAGGAAAAATAGGAATTCAAAGGTCAGATTCCTCCAAGGGCCAAACCCTGAAGGCCAGAATCAAACAAACAGTCCCTAAGGAATGAAAACAAGTCAATAAATTCTGTAAATCCTTATTTTTCTAACTATATCTAGCTTATTTTTAAGTCTGAATGAAACTAGCCTGTTTCAGTACAGTACTTGCCCCCCCCCACACACACACACACAGACAAACACACACGGTTTACTGTTTTTAGGGTAGTGCTAAGTAAATTTTGGTGCGCTTGCTATGTGCCCGAAGAATACCACTCAAGGTTCGCTGATGTCACGTTTTCCAGTGTCTACTCTTTCTTATCATCTCTTAGATGCCAGGTCCTTTTTACTGATAATTTAAATGTCCTCTCTGGGTGAAGCCCGGGATTGCGGTTACTCAAAGCTACCTCTGGACCGAGAAACACAGGTCCGGTCCGCTGATGGACACCGACAAGCCCCGTGCTTTGTTGGGGAATGAATGGAGAGCCTTTTGGGCAACCACGTCATCTAAATCACAGTCCCGGTGAGAAACGCAACGGATAAATTCTAGAAACACTCAGTGTGTCTTCTATCAGACCAGAGATCCACCCTAAAAGTCTCCGAAAGGAAATTTCATGAGCTTACTGTTCAGGTAACTTCTGCTACCTTAGCGGTACACTTCCCCTTTTCCCAGAAAAAAAAAGTAGTCGGGTTAAAAGTTTACTCACGCAGTCCTAAAACAGATGCCTTTGGTGAGCTTCAAAAAACTGAGTCCTAAGGACCAGATCAGCTAGGCGCGACAGCCTCTGAGTCCAGGTGACACAGCTCAAAGAAGCCCCCGGCCAGGTAATGCCTCTCCAGGCATCCTGGCCCTGCCACCCGCAAGTCTGCCCTTCTATCCTTTTCGTTCTGTGGCTCCCCACAGGTCCCAGAGCATCCTCCGTGCCTCGGGTCCCGGCGGGACAGGGCTAAAGCCCCACACCGATACCGGGTGCCCCTCGTCCCCGCCCCCGGAAGGCTGCCGGGCCGGTGACTCACCTGCTGGCCAGGTTGGGGCGCCGGATGATAGCAGGCTGTGGGGCAGGTTGCAGCTGCCACGGGGTTGGGCAGATACTGGGGCGCTCCATACGGCTGGGGGTGATACATCACCTCCGCACAACTCATGGCAGCGGGGCCAGCGGCGGCCCCGGAGTTGCCGCGGTTCTACGCGCTGGCGCGAGGGGCGCCACCGCCACCGCCGCAGCAGTTGCTGTCCGCGTCGCTGCTGCTGCTGCTGCTGCTACTGCTGTGAAGGCGGGTCCTCGGCGGCCTCGGGCTCCACGCCGGGAGCGAGCTCGGGAGGGGTTGGCAATCAGCGGCGGCCCATGCGCGGGCACCTTCATTTTCAGCCCCTCCGGGTGCCCCCTCCACTTGCGCTTATATAGCGACGGGACGACGCGGCCGCCCGCCCCGCGGCAGGAGCATGACAGCGTTGGACTCAGTCTCTGGCGGCGGCACCAGTGGCAGCAGCAAGTACCGCAGCGCCAGCCACAGCCGCAGCAGCAGCCGAGCCACCGCTCGAGCTGCCCCAGGAGCCCGGCGATGCTTTGCATACACACAATGCACGCCCGGGCCTCGTCCTATCACCAGCTCGGGTGGCTGGGCGAGGACCGGGAGGCGGGGGAAGGAGAGCCGGAATGTGGGGAGGCGGGGAGCTTCCCTCCCCAACTCTCAGGAGCAGTTTATCAGCAAAGTTCCACCAACTCCAGTCCACAGCGGGCGAGTCGCCCAGCAGGGGGACCCTGGGGAGGGCAGCAGCGGATTGGAGCGAAGTTTGCTGCCCTCTCCGCCTCCCGGCGAGCGATGATGGTGGGAGGAGATTGGTATGCGAGAGGCTCCGCGCCCACAAAACTCTGCGGGTCCCCACCCAGTCTCGGTCACCTGGCTGGGCCAGGGTTGCCCAAGTCCTAGGAACTTTTTCACGGAGCATCAAGTCCGACGCTGATTGAACAAGATCAAAGAAAGGTCAAGGGTAAAGAGAGCTATAAAGCAGACCAGGGTTAAAATACAGAATTGGTTCGTACGTTAAAAAAAAAAATAAATAAATAAATAAACCGAAGTGAAAGTTAGCATTGCCTTGAGTGCCCACAAACCAACAAAGCGTAATTCCCTTGCCTTATCTTCACTTGAAAGGCATATCTTGGTGGCTTGTCGTCCTGACAGGATGTGTGTCCTTTTCTGGCATTTACCGACTGGCTTGCATGCAGCAAGAGAATAATTGGTGACTTATTTGACTGCGATTTAAAGGTGTTTATGTGCAAATGGATTAAACCTTGCAAAAATGAAATAAAAACTCAATTTTTCAGAATATTAGTATACTCCAGTATAATCATAAAATCTAACTCAACCTTTCCCTCTCTAGCAAACGAAACATTTTGTAAGAGTGACCAAAAGGCATAGTCTTTTTCAAAGGAAATGTCCCTTTGGGTATCAAATGCACTAATGTTGTCATCAAGTAAAACACACACACACACACACACACACACCAAACCTACACTCTGAAGCCATTATAGCCCACCCCCCCACCTCTGTACCTCGGACAGTTACTTAGAGATTTGACATGTTCAATTATTTCTGTGCACATAGCTGTACCACTCACACCAACTATGATTGTGTTTGGTACTTTTACTATTCCATAACAGGTTTTCTTCATCCATTCATTATTTTATTAACAGAATCTTAAAATACAATTATTAAGAGGTTATGTAGTTTAGACTTCACACTGTGTTCTTTCCGGTAGGAGACTATGCCTATCAAGGAAATACAGAAGAACTTGCTTTATATGTTCATAACTCCTTTGTCCCAAGTTGAAACGCCTTGGTTAGACCCTTTTCCTGTGATCCACACTCATTGCTTCTGTCCAAGAAGCTTCACATAGTACAGAGCCATAAGAGCATCCATCTACCCACACCCCAATTTGAGCATCTTTTTCATGTCTACCATAAAGAGCAAAACTCCTGCCTTCCAGTTGTACTGGGAGTACCAGGGAAGCTCCCAGCATTTGTCTTCTCAAAGTGCTTCCCATTGGCTCTAACTTTAGTACATCCTAAATTTTACATTCCTTCGAATGTTCTTGGTCTCCTGCTTATCTCTGTTGCTGTAATCCTTAGTTCATTTAGACCCTCTCATTCAGACTCTCAGATGAGGTTCATTTCTGCTTTCCCAGACCCATAGTCAGACATCTTCAGACCCAGTCTTCAGGACCCACATTCCAAGGATGATCCAATGGAGGCCTGAAACTTTCTCACATTTTCAAAAGTAGTGTCCCACATTCCATAGTCCCAATTCTGTAACCTCCACCTCTGACTCCTACTTTTGCCACCCTCTCTGCATGCAAACAGATCTCTGAATGGATGAAAGCCTTATTTTAAGAAAGAACATGGCTCTAAAACTATGCATTTAGATTGGTTGTGATTTTCTGTACTTGTTTCTGGTGTGGGAAGTCCTTCTGTCTATGTATTGCTTTTATTGGTTAATGAATAAAGAAGCTGCTTTCAACCAATGGCTTAACAGAATATAGCCAGGCTGGAAGATATATATATATCTATATATCTATATCTATATATATATACACACACACATATATATATATATATATATGAGAGAGAGAGAGAGAGAGAGAGAGAGAGAGAGAGAGAGAGAGAGAGGAGTCAAGGAGCTGCCATGGAGCCGCCAAAGGGGAAAGATGCGAGCTGCCAGCTGGAATTTTGCAGGTAGGCCATGAGCCTTGTAAAATATAAAATGATGGAAATGGATTAATTCTAGATGTAAGAGCTAGCTAACAATATGCTTAAGCTATTGTCCAAATAGTATTGCAAATAATATAATTTTTGTCTGATTATTTCTGGCCAGGGGAGCCAGGAAATGAACTAGTGGTCTCGCACTACACATTTCCATGTGTGGCAAAATTTCCTTGCTGAGGGATAAAGACTGTACTTAACTGTGTATATAAGGACAAAATTTTATAGCTTGTTGCTAGAGATTATGCTAGTTTAGTAAAGTAAGTGTTGTAGATTCTTCTCCAAGAACAATGGGTACATCTACAAAACACTCCTACAACTATAGTTTAGGGAACATTTCAAAAGAAGGAGCCGAGAGATTGTAAGAGTGCGAAGATCAGAGAGTTTGCACCCATAAAGTCTCACCAATACGAACGCCTGGGCAGGAGCTGAGCATGGGTGACTATATGCCAAACTGGACAAGAAAACTCCACGAGGCTATGAGGCTTCAACATTACACAAAGAACCATAAGAAAGAGAGGGAAGTAGGAGGCAGGAGACGTGGTTTTCCCCAGAGAAAGGCATACAGAATTGTCCAGTACCAAATGGTTAGTCTTGAAAACATACATACAACTGAAGTTCTATAAACTGAGCAGATTATTTAGGACCAGATAGATAGGTAGATAGATAGATAGATAGATAGATAGATAGATAGATAGATAGATAGATATGTGTGTGTGTGTGCATGAAATAGCATTTAGTGGAAAGAAGAGGCCATGAATTTGAAAGAGACTGGGAAGGGCATATGGGAGATATGGAAGGAGAGGGGAAATGCAGCTGTGTTATAACCTTAAAGTGGGCAAGGGGTAAAAAGGGAGCTTGGTGTCTCCTACTACCGTGTCTCTTCTGCAATCAACAGCCATCCACCCCCATCTTCCACACTTGCTAACTCTTCCTAGTTCTCAAAGGATTCGTATCTTAAAATAGTCAATGCTGAACAGTTTTAACGTCTCCCCATCGCAGCCACAGCTGCTTCAGTGCAAGAACACATGGATCCCAAAAATGCAATGGTTGGCTTAATAAGCATCTATTGTATAAGGTATGTAAGACAGAAAAAGAAACTTCAGAATAATTTATAAATTAAAGAGAGATCAGAGGGCACCTGGGATCAGTGAAGATTATGATGTGGAGCATGGTTTCAGATGGTTCAAGTTTTCTCTTACGTGAAAAATAAGAGAAAGTCCTTACATTGTGAGAAATTTTAAGACCAGAGGACCAAGTGACTGAAGTAGAGAAAGAAGCTTGCACTCAAGAGCATCTTTCCCTCAAGGTCAGACATCCTGCCCAGCAATCTGAACAGCTCCAACTTCTACTTCAGTGCCATAGTGTACCTTAGTTAATTAGTTTTTGCAAAGTGATATGCTAAATATCTGTTTCTTCTACATGGCAACTACTGAAACCGATTGACTCATTTACCCCAAAATGAAAATTTAAAGGTGTTCAGCATGTGTGTTTTCTAATAATATAAAGCCAGAATATATTTCAAACTGCTATGCCTTCTGTGTGCTTTAGTATGTGTGATGGCTTGAATGTTTAGTCAGCGGGGAGGGAAATTATTTGAAAGAATTAGGATTAAGAGATGTGTACTTTGGGGGGAAAGTATGTCACTGGGATTGGGCTTTGAGATATAAAGTCCATGCTGGGTCCAGTAGCTCCATTTGCCTGCGGATCCGAATGTAGCTCTCAGCTACTGCTCCAGCACCATGCCTGCCTTCATGCTTCCATGCGCCCCACTTTGAAAATAATGGACTAAACCTCAGAAACCATAAGCTCCCAATTAAATACTTTCTTTTTTTAAGAGTTGCCATGGTCATGGTGTCTCTTCACAGCAATAGAACACGAACTCAAGACTGTGGTATAAATATTCACCACGGGAAAGAATACTTTTTGGTACTAAAAAAAGGCCATTGCTGGATGTGTTTGCCAAATATTCATACAAGGAAATAACTCTTTGGTGATATTTTATTTCTATTTTCTAGTGATAGCAGAGAAAATTAGTAAGAAAAAAAGTAAATTATGTCCAGAATTAGAATCTAGACGAAAAATGGATCAGGAAGTAAGAAAGAGAAATAAGCTGAGCAAAATGGTATTCTTCACTGGCTTGTTAGTAAAATAAATGAATGAATGAATGAATGGGGTGACTCCGGTTAAGAAATTCAAAGTGTCATTGGTTTATAGCAGTTTCTTTCATAGATTGACAAGCCTGTGGTCTGATGCAGGTCTTCTATAGGGGCTAGGAGCAGAACTGACACTGAAAGAGGTCGAGAACTCTGAGTGCATGTGTCAATTGCTTTCCACCGTTGTACACTGAAGTGCCTGAATCAATAAAACATTTATGATTCATATGGCTGTGGACATTACAGGTGTGACCACACACATTCAGACATGTTAATTCATGCAAACACATGAAGGGATAAATACATCTAAATCAGGCTTCTGATATGCTCAGGCCAAAGGCAGGTAGTTTACCGAGTTGTTTGGAAA